CCAAAATAGTTTTTTTATCCCACATCCCGCCATTATTGCAAAAATGGCGCTTTTAGATAGCTGACGACAGGGAGTATAAAGTCACTCATTTGCTCGACCATATCAAAATGGCGTCCATTTTCTCCCAAGAGGCAAACATAACAGCTTATCCCATGCGTTATTTTTGCCCATGGGAGAAAACGGTCTGCTATCTGAAATCGACACTTTTTTGCATTAGGAATAAAAAATATCGTAAGTAACAGGGGAATAAAGGCAGCCAATTTGTTTACGATGATTTTTGTGACACGAGTGGAGGTCTACGGCGCCCTCGACCTCCACTCGTGTCACAAAAATCACCGTAAACAAATGGCTGCCTTTATACCCTTGTTGCTTAATATACTATTTTTGACGCTTAATATGGCTAAGAAGAATCCCTGAAAATATTAAGCAAAAAAAAATTTTTTTGTAAAAGTTATTAACAACTGAATTTTTTAGTAATGCTAAATTAACAAATTTTTTTCTCGAGTTCCAGTTGACGGATTTTAAAATTAAAATATGTGTTTTTTTCGTCTTGAATTGCACTATTTGAATATATTTTTTGTTTTTAAATTTTTTTATTTTTTATATAATTTGTTTATAAAATGTTAATAAACAAATATGTTCTTCACGTCCTAACAAAAAAATTAAAATTGTATTCTATTCCTTAAACGTCTCCGAGTGTAAAACTGTTTTGAAAAAAATGAGCCTCAATTAGAAAAAAAGTTATTAATTAAAAACTGCAGCTGTGTAGAGCTTTACATGACGTTAAACTCGCCCCGCGCACATTGGCATTTTTTACAATTTACTGTTCAAAATTGTCTGTAACCTACAAATTTTATCGGATTTTCATGGGCTTGGTCTTAAATTAAAGGGGATAAAATTTCTAAAAGATCCCACTAAACCAATTTTTGAATTTTAAATTGTTTATTTTTTTTTGTTACTCAAAGTTAACAATTTACAATATTTTTAGAAAAAATCATGTTTATTTTTTGTATTTTTTCATTGCAGATGATTGGAATCAATTTAAATTAGTTCAGCATGACCACCAGACAAATAATAATGCATAATACAATTCATTTAAATTGTTGCAAACAATGTTAATTAACAAATAGATAACTTTGGTTTTTTTTGTAAAAAAATTTTTTTTTGCCGACAAATTTATGTTTATTTAAGTAATCTATGTTGATTTTAGTAAAAAATTATTTTGAATTTAATAATTACCATTGTTATTAACAATCATATGAACTATAATCAAGTTTCTTTAACATTTGTAAACATTTTAGGCATTTTTTAAACATAAAATGTTTATATAATATGTACATTCTTTCAAAAACTTTAAAAATTTATTAGCACAAAGAATTACATTTGCTGTAAACAAATTATTTACTTTTTAAACAAATAAATGGCTTATTTCTGCAAAAAGAAAAATTATTTTTCCTATTTTAACGAGTTTAAAGTCATGTAAAGCTCTACTTGGTTATTGATAACTATATTATTGTTCATATTATTTATTTGTTTATACACCCGTCTTAAGCCTACAATCTTGGCTATACAAGTGTTTTTACAACCGTAGAACAATCCTTACAAGCATTTCTTAATACTAAATTTTTGCGCCTACAGAGCGACTTGAAAATTAGGAGTACTCGCATTTGCCTGGACCACCCGTCTAATGGGTTTTCTCCCCAGTGGAGAGGGAAACTGTAGAAAACCTCTCCGAGTACAACCGGTTTATCGACAGTCGAATTCTAATGGTGTGTACCGGACAATAATCGACGGTGCACATCATTATACTTCGACGTCAAACCTCCCGCTCAGATTATCTCACGTGCCGGAAAAGTCCCAGGCTAATGGGCGCGAACCAAGTACCCTTGGTCCGCCCACCGAGCCAGGCATTCATCCGACCGACCCAATCTGTCGGTTATTATTGTTCATATGATTGTTAATAACAATGGTAATTATTAAATTCAAAATAATTTTTTACTAAAATCAACATAGATTACTTAAATAAACATAAATTTGTCGGCAAAAAAAAATTTTTTTACAAAAAAAACCAAAGTTATCTATTTGTTAATTAACATTGTTTGCAACAATTTAAATGAATTGTATTATGCATTATTATTTGTCTGGTGGTCATGCTGAACTAATTTAAATTGATTCCAATCATCTGCAATGAAAAAATAAAAAAAATAAACATGATTTTTTCTAAAAATATTGTAAATTGTTAACTTTGAGTAACAAAAAAAAATAAACAATTTAAAATTCAAAAATTGGTTTAGTGGGATCTTTTAGAAATTTTATCCCCTTTAATTTAAGACCAAGCCCATGAAAATCCGATAAAATTTGTAGGTTACAGACAATTTTGAACAGTAAATTGTAAAAAATGCCAATGTGCGCGGGGCGAGTTTAACGTCATGTAAAGCTCTACACACCTGCAGTTTTTAATTAATAACTTTTTTTCTAATTGAGGCTCATTTTTTTCAAAACAGTTTTACACTCGGAGACGTTTAAGGAATAGAATACAATTTTAATTTTTTTGTTAGGACGTGAAGAACATGTTTGTTTATTAACATTTTATAAACAAATTATATAAAAAATTATAAAAGATAAAAAAATTTTAAAACAAAAAATATATTCAAATAGTACAATCCAAGACGAAAAAAACACATATTTTAATTTTAAAATCCGTCAACTGCACTGAGAGAAGAAAAGCACAGATTCTGAAATAGAAAAGTTCAGCATCTGTACTCCAATTGAACGCAGCAGCAGTGCCACTGTGTGATAGGTGTCGTGCTAAAATGTGAAACGGATTTTGACTTTGGCTTGAGGTACAGATGTTGTACTTTAAATTAAATGCTACTGTTTAGAAGTACAGTATCTGTCGGTCGCTATGAAACAGATCCTGTACTAATTATTTCGTACCGCCGCCGCGCTGCTTGAGCATAGTATCTGAACTATGAATGACACCAACTGAATAAAATTAAGAACGGGCACTGACACGCATTTTACACGGCCGGTGTTTGTCACAGTACGGATTCTGTGCTTTTCTTCTCTCAGTGTGGAACTCGAGAAAAAAGTTTGTTAATTTAGCAGTACTAAAAAATTCAATTGTTAATAACATTTAGAAAAAATTTTTTTTTGGCTTAATATTTTCAGGGATTTTTCTAATTATTAAAAAGTAACATTTTTTAATTCTAAACGAAAGTATATTTTATCCCCTTTATATTCCCGTTTGGTTCATTCATTTAGGAGAAATAAAATTTTGTTTAAAAAGTTGCAAAAAAATTCATTTTGCAATAACTTTTATAAAAAAAAAATTTTTTTCTGTTCTTTGGTGGACACATTCTTAGAGCCAAATAGAAATGTTTTTCCAACATTTCGATTTAAAAAAAATACTTTTTATTTTCTGTGAAAATTTCACGAATTCTGACCCTATATAATTTTTCTAAACTTCAATTATTTTTTCGAATTTTTAACTTTTACTATCAGCCTCTTAATTAATACTAATTTTTGTAATTTGGCAATTTTTTTACATTCAGGATAAAAGTCTGTTTGGTAATTTGATTATTGATATTTTTCGCACAAGTAAAATCAAAATAAATTGCATTTTATACCAATAAAAAGTGGTATTTTGTTGCAAAATGTTTAAGAAATATAAAAAAGTCACATTTTATCAAAATATAAGTCGAAAAAAGTCAATAAAATCATAAAATCCGAGGCCTGATGCTATCATTAGAAAAAAAAAGATTTTATATTATTTTATTATTTTTATTTTTCTATTTACGTATATTATATATATATATATATATATATATATATATATATATATATATATATATATAAGATTTGAACAATAATAATAACAATAAAGAATATAATTTAATAAAACAATAAATGACTGACAATTTAGACAAGTTTATATGTATAGATTGGAATTTATCCAATTTATAATGGAATGAGTATAATTCTTGAAGTCAATGGTGTGAAATGAATCTGGCTGCATTCAATGAAAAATGTTGCAAGTGTCATGATTTAAAGTGTGTGTGTGTGTGTGTGTATAAATGAAAAAGGATGTAGGAAGTGGATTTACAAAGTGTAAGTATCATAGTATATAGAAAATGAGAGAAAATCAACAGAAATACGTAGAATTCATCCAGTAAAAAAACAACCAACATCGACATCGATATGCTGAAAGACGTATCACAAAAATTAAACAATTAGACGAAAAGGAATTTTAGGACCCGAAAATCACTTGCTAATTATTTTATTAAAATTTAACAAAACAATTTTTTAAAATTATTATTTGAATTGAAATATAGTGAAATTTGGTAAAAAGACTTCGGAAAGAGAGTCAAAATGAAAAGTCAGTCCTTATACAAAAATTTGGAGCTGAACAAATACTTTTGATTTGATGGCCTATCCAGTTTCTTTTTAAAAAAATGTATTTGACTAATAATTGTCTTTAATTTTAATTATTTAACTAATAAACTTTTTAATTATTCAATTCAAAATTTAGTTATAATATTATATAGGTAATATAATATAATAATAATATTAATAATAATTTATCTAAAAAGTAATTAAAAATTACTTACTATTTTTTTTTTTTTAAATTTCTCATCCAAAAAAAATTTATTTTAACAACTTGAGATTTGAAAAATTTTCTTTTTTGAAAGTAGAAATGAACTTCTGATGTAAATAAAATTAAATTATGACTTTCGGGTCCAATTCCCGCAGAAATTTGATTAACATACGTTTATAAAAGAAAAAAGTAAAAATTTTTGGCAAAAAAAGATGTTTTGAGACAGTTTGTTAAAAAAGACCGATAAATGCTAAGCTTCGTGTTTTAAATTGCGTCCGCAACATAGAAACAGAATTTGAACGATTATTACGCGAAATGGACACCGCGCGGTGTCCCGCCCACAAAAGGCAACATTTTTTTTAAATTTTATTTTATTTATTTTCCTTTTTAAAAAGGAAAGTACCTCAAAGTCCTTTTTCTTGACTAGATATTCGATGTCGAATTTTTTATCCTCCAGTGCTGCGATCCTTGTGTGATATTCGCGCAACACACGCTTTATTGTCTCTGTGTATGTTGATTAAAAATTAATTATCTTTAATTCACAACAATCAATTATATAAAATGTTAAAAACAATTATTTTTTTTAATTACAAAATTTTCATTACTGAAAATGTTCTAAATTGTGAACAAAATACTTTTCAACCCGTTTGAAAAAAATATATTCTTTAAATGTGAATTAATATTTTTTTATTCTAAAAATAAATTTTACAAATTATTAATTTTGTAGTTTAAAAAATTTTTTAGATTCTTTTTAATTTTTCTCAGAAGTAAAAATTTGAATGTAAATAGTATTTTTATAAGACATGGTTTATATATATTAAAAAAAATTTGTATTAAATTTTTATTAAATTGACCTGTAATTTGTTGTATTTGTTGTGTATTGTATTTTGTCAGTTAATGAGGACAATGTAAAAATATTAAAAATGAAATAGATGAGAAAAAATTATTAATCTTTCTCCTTTGGATTTTTCCTGAACCAAATTCCTAAAGAATTTCAATAGATTCATAAATTGATTCTGAAATGTTTTTTGCAGGTAAACTTGCATCAATTAGGTAGAAAACAAACAGAAAAATTTATAATGAGTAAGATAAACACATAAATAGGCGAATAGTAAAATAAAATTTACCCTTAGATAATACATGGGGTCAGTCTGACAACACAATATTTCTATAAAAAAGGTGTTCTTTTTTTAATTTCTTTAAACATTATTAATTTTTTCAGTACTTTTATTATGTGCTAATTAATTCGTTTTTGTTTATGAAAATGCGAATAAATTTTGCATAATAATCTGTCAATTATTTGTTTTCAAATGGAAGACGACAAAAATTGTTGTGGAGTAAAATGGACCCCATGTGTGTTTTTCGTGTTCGAAAAAATAGGTTCTCGAAGAGTTAATTGAATGACAAATAGATAAAAAATAATGAAAATAATAAAGTAAATTAAAAATAAGTAAATGTAAATAAATATGTAAAAGAGGTGATGCGTAGAATAACGAGGAAACTATAGAAAATTTTCTCTAACGAAAATTGTTTCTATAAAATAGCTCAATTTGGTCATTGAATGGAAAACTGTTTACGCTTTGTTCACGATAACGGGAATGAAATTTGAATAAGATCCTGGAGTACCTGATTGATAACGAGAATTGACGTTCTTTGTCATATACAGTAAGAATACCTAACTGTCAGTCAGTCCACGAGTGCGAAGAGGATACTCTTATGCGGCGTTCAATGTTCGCTCACTCGCACTCACGCTTAAGGGTGATTCATAGTTAGATACTCTTACTGTATATATATATACAGCAATAAGGAAGATTTTAGTTAGAAAAAGTTTTTTCAAGTACCTTCGTTAGCGTCATCGACGTTCTTAGGTTTCCCGCATCTCTCTTCAATAATGCGCCTCCTTTCTGCTGCTTTCCTCTCCTGTTCCTTCTTTAATTCTTCGGCAGCTTTCTTACGCAACAACAACTAAAAGGAATAATTTAAAAATTAAAATTTTTTTAACAAATTATTTCAAAATTCAAATAAACAAAAATTAAAACAAAGTTAAATTCTTTATTTTTACTAAGAGTTGAAAAAATCACAGAGTGACAAATTCGAAATAATATTATTTATTTTTGTTTGCTATATTAATGAAAATAATTATTATATTAATAACAAAGAGGAATGCTGTCAATATACAAATAAATAAAATGTATAAAGGATGAAAATAAAATATTATTGAAATTGAAAAAAGCAAAGAAATTAAAAAAAACTCACCCTGAGTTTCTTCTTTCTGTCGGGTGTCATAAACCCTTTCTTGGCCTTTTTCGCCTTTGAGGCTTCCTCAAGACGGGCGCGGACTTCCGCCCTTTTTCTGTCAGTTTCCGCCTGCTTCCTCTTCTTTTCCTATGGATTTCGAGTGTAAAAGTGTTTTAAAATTTTAACCGTGACAATTCCTAAGAATTTCTATTTTTTTCAGAATGGTAAATTTATGAATAAAAAAAGTCTTTGAAAATAAAATTTATCAAAGTATGAAAAACTATTATTCAATACATTTATATTTAAAACTATTAAATATTAAAATTTTTTACTTTAAAATAAATTTTTATTAAAATATCAATAAAAATTAGTGTAAGTAAAAAATATATTGAACTGCACAAAAAAATAGCAAATATGTAGTGTTTTTTCCAATAAAAAAATTATGTATCTTCAGTACGTACATCCTCGATGCGCTTTCTCTGTAAATAGAAAAAAGAACAACTTTGTTAGAAAAAGTTAAATTTTCATACCTATTTAAAAAGAAAAAGAAAATTTTTTTGAAGCAGGTTATTAAACGTAGTTTCTTTAAAAAATAAAGGAACCTTTTTTAATTATCTTTATCATTTAAAAGATCAATATTTATGCACAAAACGTTAACAAGGTCCAAAAGGTCCTTATTTATGCAAAAAAAATAGTTTTATCAAAATTGTAGGTATTTTTATTACTTAAATATTTGACGATTAATTTTATAATCAATTATTAAATTTTTTCTTTAAATTGTAACAAAATTAGTTTTATATAAAAAATTAATTAAAAATTTTTTTTAATACTTTTGAAAAACTTCAAAGTAACATTTAATACTTTTAGTTCCAAAATAGAAATGCAAAATATTTTTCTACTTTTTTGAAGTAAAATGAGCGGAATAAATAAATTTTTGATCAGAATGTAATAACTGAGTGTAGGTATTTGATATAATTGATTTGATATAATTAAGCATGAAAATTTCTGATTTTTAATTAATATTTAACATAATGAATAAATAAACATTCAGAAGCAGCACGCTGTCAGCAAAATCAACATTTACAATGATTAAACACAAGCAAACAGTCACAAGGTGACAAATTTTTGTTTAGTGCCAATAAGAAATTAAAAAACGATATTAATGTGTGATTTCAAGTGTTTACTTTACCCAAGTGTAGTCCTGTATTGTTGTATTTTTTTCAAAATTCCATTATTAATTGAGGAGCAAGTTTTCAAAAGTTGATAAATCCATATTTTCTTATTTCGAGAAAATGAAACAAATGACTTTTTTCACATAACAACTATAGTTAATTTTAAATTAAAAAATTTGTATTAATTTATTTTTATAACAATGTTTTTATATTTAAGACGTTCTGTTTTTAATTAAACATTATCATAATTAAGTGATTTAAAGGTTTTGGTAATTTTTTCTAATAAAAAACATAAAAATTATAAGTCATCTTGGTTATGTAAAAAAGTTTTTAAATTGAAAATTCGTTGTTAATAAATTTTTTTTCTTACATTTAATAGTGACAGGTCGATTTGTGAGGTCTTTAAAATATTAAATTTATGTTTATTTCAATTCTTTTAAAAATGGATTTATCAGCTTTTGGAAATTTGCTCCTCAATTTATTTTTTTTCTCCTTATTAAGATTTTTGAGGTGCAATTGTGTATAATTTCATTTTAACTTTCATACTATATATATTTCAGTAAAAATAAAAATTGTGAAAAAATTGAATTATTACTCCTGGTATTAAAAAACTTTAAATAATTAAATCAGATTTCAAAAGAATGATTTTCTAAAAAAAAATTATTTCATTTGTCAGTATAGAAGAAAGAGTATAATCAAATAATGAAAAAAGATTTAAATTGACTCATAAATGTATCACTATATTAAAAATCGTTTAGGAAAATTGGATATCTGTTTACTATTGAAAATTCCATTCAAAAGATCGTTGACAACATGACTTGTTAAAAAGATTATAAACTATGGCGTTACAACGACGTCGAGAATCGTGCATGACAGTAAATAATGTGGAAGAAAGGAGAGTTTGTCCCGATAAATCATATGAAAAATGTTTCGAGGAAACTCTCCTTGAATGAAATTGCAGTCAGTAAACTTTCCTTCGATTCTCGACTGTCGCAAAAATGATAGTTTTTTTTCTTTAATATACGTCTTTTTTAAGTAAACTGAAAATTTTCTTTAAAATTTTAGCTTTATCATCTGTACAAATATTTTTAAACATTTTTTTAAACAAAACATTAAAAAATTATTTAAATTTATAAATTATGTAAAAGTACTGATTAAATTATCTAAGACCTGATGATATTTTATTATTATTATTTATATTTATATTTACTGTAAAAGAGAAAAAATTATACCAAAAAAATTTCCACATATATAGTATATTAAGCAACAAGGGCATAAAGGCAGCCATTTGTTTACGGTGATTTTTGTGACACGAGTGGAGGTCGAGGGCGCCGTAGGCGCCCCGAGACCGAAACGAGTGTCACAAAAATCATCGTAAACAAATTGGCTGCCTTTATTCCCGTGTTACTTACGATATTTTTTATTCCTAATGCACAAAAGTGTCGATTTCAGATAGCAGACGACAGGGAGTAAAAGTCATTCACTTGTTCGACTTATATGAAAGTGGCGGCCGTTTTCTCCCAAGGGCAAAAATAACGCATGGGATCTGCTGTTATGTTTGCCTCTTGGGAGAAAATGGACGCCATTTTCATATGGTCGAACAAATGAGTGACTTTACTCCCTGTCGTCAGCTATCTAAAAGCGCCATTTTTGTGCATGTGGGATAAAAAAGTAATGGTTTTATACCATGAAATGGAGATTAATTCATATAATTGCAGTGTTTAATAAAAGAAATCATGAACAGTAATAAATAATTTGCATAGAGCAAATTTTGAATTTTTTATAAAATACAATAAAAATAATAAAAAAATACGATTATTACATGTTTTACTAATTTTACTAATAACAAAACGTGTCTTATAAAAATGCAGAGTTTCTGGTCAGATTTGATCCTTATCAGACAAGATATACAATTGACCCAAAAAAGTATTTAAATATTGATATGAATTGTGTAAACTTGGAGAAAGTTAAAAAACAGGAGACACAGGAAAATTATCTAAATTTTTATTTACTTTTTTTTGTTGAAAAATAGAATAATAGGAAGTTATAAAAAGCAAAGGTGGGTGCTACTGATAGACATTCTAAAAATACTAACAACTAGTGGTTCTAATGTACATTGAGAGGAGGGGGGAATTCTAAATTTGTATAGTAGGTTACACTTTGATTTGACGAGGCTTAGTCTTCAGAACCTCTTGTCATCTCTACGGTTGATTTTTCGTTAAGAAAAATCATAATTCGAATTTTTCAGGCAAATTCAAATGCAAAATTCTAAACAATTCAAAAAGTAAAGAAATTAAAAAAATATAGAATTTAAAATTTTTCAAATTCGTAACATTTAATTTGAATTTAGAATTTTATCAAAACTTGTCATATTCAATAATGATTTATAAATTTTGTAAAGTTTAGTTTACAATTATAATAAATTTGTAAATTTTTTTTAAATATTTGTATTACACTTAATGAAAAATCTGACAAACAATCAGAACAAAAGTTAGTTCAATATGTCATAATTTCGTATTTTAAAAGAAAAATACACATTAAATTTAAAATTCGTTTTTGGTAGAAGCGTAAAGAATTTTGCCATATGTATATATAATATAGAATTTAAATGAAATTGCCTGAAACTTTTGGAAACATATATTTTCTGGATTACGTATAATTATATAGAGTCACAAACATTAAAAAAGCAGCAAACCCAAACGTACCTTTTAGAAAAAAAGTTTTTTTCGAGTACTACTTTTCCAAAAAACGATTCCAAGTCATCCGAATGGGCCAAATTTAGAGATGAGTTCCAAAAGAATGGAAAAAAAAACATTTTCATTTAGAAATGTGTAAAATTTTCTTTTTTTTAATATACATAAACAAAGTGCAAAAAAGGACATTTGGAATAGATAATAATATATAAAATATATTATTTATAGTAATATGAACAAAGTGTTCATTTGTCAAAAGTGATGCTTAACAACTTTTGAACTTTTAATATCATGTTTTGATTTTTCTTTTGCTTAATACTGTATATTTTTTTCATTAATAAATAAATTATTTTTTAATGTACGGTGCTATAATAATTTGTGATGGTAACTAATATTTAGTGACTTTTTCTTGAATTAGAACTTTTTGATTCTTAAATTAATAGCTCAGCTCAATTGGTTAGAGCAACCTGCTGACAGCAGATAGTCTGCAGGGTCAACTCTCTCATCATAAGAAGAATTAACTTGATTTTTTTACATGGAACTGAAGTCCATAGGGTTTAAAAAAAAAATCGTTTGGAAAATGATTTTTTTAAGTACATTTATATTTCAACTTTTGATGTCCATAATTTAATAATTTTCTCGTTTTCAAAAACTTTGCGGTTACGGATCAGTTATTTATACCATGTGAATATACAAATAAATAAATTTTTATTTATTTCATTAAATTTTATTTGATTTAAATGAAAATTTTAGCTGTTTCTACTAAATATTATTTAATTCAAATAAAAAATTCTTTTTGTACAAAAAGAATCAAAGTGAATTGTTTAAATCAATGAAATCATGTGATTAAATTAAAAACATTTTTTTTTAATTCTGGAAAATTATTGTATTGATTTAAGGCCAAAATAAATTTTTTTTTCAATTGAACACAATTTATTTTACAATTAATATTCAAGAAAATTATTTTTTATATGTAATTGAAAATATTTCCTGTAAAATCGACACTCACCTAACCTCATCGTCGGCCATGTTTGTGTTTAGTTTTAACTGCAACTACCTGAAAAAATCCAATTATAGATATTTATTAATTTTGTAAAAGTTACTATTTAAATACATACAACACAACAGCAATTTTTTGCGAATATTTTCGAGAGAATCATAGTCAAAAAATTATCCCATAAATAACATAGCATTTAACCATTTAATTTCTTAAAACGTGATAAAATTTTATATTTCAATTAAATTTGAAAATTTTTTTATTTTGAAATTACCTAATTTTTTTTTAAAATTTGAGTTCAATGAACGAAGAGAAGGATGGTAGATAATAGATATTTGGCCCTTGTGGCGAATTACAATTTATTCTACGATTGGTGCATATAAAAATTGCTAGATTGAGGAGATTAAGTAAACGAATTGATCAGGGTCGACTTACGGAGGCAGAATGTTATACAGTATATCCGTCGTAATACAAAAATAGCCGCAATGAGTCGGTCCCCACTCTTATTTCAATACCGCGATCCAAATTTGGTTACAACAACTCGGTCGCTATCTTCACTCTTCGAATGAGAAAATTTCACTTTATTTATAAAAAAAGAAAAAAAAACTAATATCAAAATGTCCTCTTGAAACTAATTTCACAACTAATAAATCCTCATTTTTCATCATAAAAATCTAAATAATTATTTTTCAATTTTACAGTTGATTTTTAAGTTCCAAACTATTAAATGCAATTTATTACTCAAATTTTCAAATAAATTATTGAAATAAATAGTTGTTTAATTAACAATTGAGTTTATTCTATGAAGTGGAATTTTTTATTTGTAAATTTTGCTTTTTTTTTTATTTTTTATTGTTTATACTCCTGCCCTATTGGCCTTACGCACTTCGACAAGAGTCCCCGAGAAATACTTTTTTGGATTAAGCATAACCATTCTACATATGAAAATTCTATATATTAACCTAATTTTGCGTCTACAGCCGACTTTAATAGGAGTACTCGCATTCGCCTGGACCACCCGTCAATGGGTTTTCTCGCCAGAGAAGAGGGAAAATGTAGAAAACCTCTCTCCTGAGTACAATCGGTTTATCGACAGTCGAGTTCTAATGGTGTGTACCGGACAATAATCGACGGTGCACATCATTATACCTCGACGTCAAACCTCATGCTCAGATTATCTCACGTGCCGGAAAAATACCAAGCCAAATGGGTGCGAACCAAGGGTACTTATACCCTTGGTCTTAAAACGACCGCCAAGCTAGGCATTCATCCGACTGAGCTAATCTGTCGGTGTAAATTTTGCTTTAAAACACAAGAATTTCTTTTAAACCCCAATTTCAAAAGCATAGTATGACAACTATTTTTAATTCATACATGAAACTCAATTTCATTTCTAATTAAAAATGTCCACATTTATATTTTAATTAAAAAAACTTTTAATCTTCTCTATATTTCATCTGTATTTTATTTTGAAGGATGCAGGAGGGCAACAACGCGTTGGTAGTGCCGCAAATCATCGTGGACAGGTCGGAGAGACGAGGGAGTACGAGCAGCGTGACGAGTCAAGCCAGCTGCATTTCTGTATTCAGTAATGCTTCTGCGATTGACATTGCTAGCTGCAATGAACATCGAGATGAATGCGTGAAACTGCGGGAGGAAGAGGCAGCAAGCATTCTAGAAATGGAGGAAGAGGTCAGCAAGATGCTGAAGTCCTGCGAAGTCCAGAAGAATGTCAATAGGACAATCAAGGATGGACTCAGAAGCATAACATCGCTCATACGGGATGTGAAGGAGAATCACGCAGCAGCGTCCAGAAAGGATGAGAAGTTCAACCAGGGGTTAGCCTGGTCAGAGGAGGCACGAAAGGACCGAAGAATGAGACGTGACCGTTTTAATGCAGTAATGCTTAAAAACGTTGTCCTGGAGTCTCAGAAGCGGAAGAGAAGTGATCCTGAGATTACGAAGGACCCAAAAAAGAAAAGGGAGAAGGGACCCCCTAGAAGGTCCAAAGGTAAGGAGACCAAACCGGCACCAAAGCCAAATCCAGATAAGAAGGGAAGAGCTACAGTGGTCGTGAAAGTGGCTGAAGGAGCTACCTTCGCCGAAGTACTAACGAAAGTTCGAAAAGAGGCTGACCTGGAGGCCAGTCAGACAAGGGTTGTGGGAGCTTTACCCACTAAAAAAGGAGACCTGCTTATTAAAATTGGGGGGTCTTCAAACAAGAAGTTGTTCACCGAAGAGGTGACAAAGGTGATCGGCGATCTGGGTAAGGTGCAGATGGCGGACCGGCGAACTACGTTGGAAATCCGCGATATGGATGCCCTTACAGAAAAAGATGACGTACTCTGTGCCCTGGAGAAAGTTTCTACGGTACCAGCAGGAGGTAGGAGGGTGACGATTCTCGGACCAAACAAGCGAGGAGTAAAGCTCGCTGTCGTCGTCACCAGTCAGGAAGACGCTGATAAGCTGGAGAAAATCGGGCACATAAAGATTGGGTTCGTCTCCTGTAAGATAAGAAGCAGAACTATGGTCACAAGGTGTCATAAGTGCCTTGACTATGGCCATCTAGGTAGAGATTGCCAAGGTGTAGATAGGTCAGCTGCGTGCTTCAAGTGCGGGGAAGCTGGCCATAAGGCAGCAGATTGTAAAAAGAGCCCATGCTGCTTCTTATGCCAGGCAAAGTTCGTCGAGAAGGAGAATATCCAGCATGTCGCCGGATCAGGAGGTTGCAAGGTCTTCAGAACTGCCCTCGAGGAAGCAAAGAAGACTTTGTCAAGGACCAGGAGGAAATAATGCCAGAACAAGAGCGGCACGATACGGAAGACGAGGTTGACCGGAGGAATCCAGTGCTCTGCTGTGTGTGAGTGTGGGTGGGAGGAAATCATTTACTTTTCCTCCCACCCACGTTCCCACATGGCTGGAGCGGATTATGGCCCAGTTGAGGAGTAGGACAAGGGGACCACCACTTGTGAAGTTGAAGGCCTGACGGTAGTTCCGCAGGTGGATAAAGTGTCCCAAATTAAGACGGGAGTGGTTTTTAGTGGGTGGACCAGAACAAGAGCGGTCACCCCCACATAACCTGGAATTCATTAACCAGGTATCGCAATTCGCAGATTTTCCACTTCCGACTACAAAAAAAAAATAATAATAATAATAATAATAATAATAATAATAAAAGTTGCCAACAATGATAATGGCCAAAAGTTACAAAATTACTTAGTGACAATTAAAAATAGAGTTATTTTTATATCAGAGAAACATTGTTAAATATTATTGAACTTCGTAGCATAAATAGCTGAATGTCGAACTTGGCAAAAGTTCATATCTTACATGTGTCTTATCTCACCTTACATATGCGATACGGGACCCACTGTTAATTATTTTTAGTTTAATTTCCTAATTATTATATTTATCGTTCATTAATCCCAATATAATTACTCTAAACTATATTTGAATGCGGAAATAATTTTGTAATTTTCAAAAAAACTTGCAAAGGTCAGCCAGAAATCATCTTGCTCTAGGATTATATTTTCATTGAAAAATATATTTAACCAATAAAAGTTGATGAAAGTGTATTAAAATTGCCATTTTGCAATATTTTTCATTCAATCAATTTTCAGATTTTCGAAATAAACTTTACTATAATGTGTATTTTTTTTATAATAATATTTTTTATAATAATATTTTTGAATTTAATATTTTCGTAATAATACATTTTTTACAACAAAAATAATTTTTTTTTAATGTTTCTTTTATTTTTTTTTAATAATAAATTTCATTTTAAAATATAAAAGCAATTTAAAGGAAAATTGTGAAATATTGAAATAAAAGAATGAGAAAAAAAAAACCATTAACCAAGTTTCGTTATAAAGAATTGCTGTATGATGGCGACTGTACATAAGACAGGAAAAATTCTAGAATAAAATTCTACACTAAATAGGACCTCGTAAAGATGATAATCCACGGGATCTAACTCGTTTTATAACGAGAATTTCCATATTTTGCAGGGACGTAAATTACCGTAATCATTTTATAGTACGAGAACTAAATCACGGTGAGAACACAGGTGTTTCCTTTTTATCAAAACTCATTAAAAAGCTCAAAGTTTTTAATCCCTTCACGAGAGACACAATATTTGTATAGTAAAAGAAATATTTATAAGCTATAAATATAAATATTTTATGTACCGAATGTTTAAAAAACATTTTTACTTACTTTTTCTATTTCAATAAAAACAAGTTGCTTCCAACACTTAAATATCATTAAAAAAATCTAAACTTTTTCAAAATTTCAGAAAATATACTTTAAAGTTTTTTAATTACATGTAATTTTTTCGTTTTAAAAAGTAATATTTTTTAATTAGTAAAATACAAGTTTATTAATTAGTTAATAATAAGTAATTTATTATATCGGCAAACGTGCAGTTCTAAGGGGTCACTAATTTCTAATTCGATGTCAGTTTTCAAAAATGCAATATGACGATCATAAAAATTTCAAATTTGAGTCCCGTGTAATGTTTTGAAAATTCAAAATGGACAATTCAATATGGTGTAGAGTCGTTTTAGAACCCTCTATAAGTCGAAACCTCTTTAACTCGAAGTTTTCAGCGTTTTTCTTCAACTTCGACTTATCGAGGTTCCACTGTATATCAAATATTCAGAATATTAATTAAATTCTAATATAACTACTAAATTTCACACATTAGTTTTTTTAAAGTTTAGTATTTTTTATATCAAAATATCGCTTTTTCGCACTTTCCCCCCAATTTTCAAAATACTTTTACGACTTTTACAAAATTTAATATATATCGATACTTCAGTGTAATACAGTCCTATCTTCTGGTAATATTTTGTAGGGTTAATGTATTAGCTGTTTTCTAAATGCATTTAAGTGGTTAAATTTTATTAATTTACACTAAATTTTTATATATTATGATAAAAAGTATCTCTTAAAATATAAAAAATTATTGTTTTGAATGTAATCAATATTTTAAGTACCGTAATTTATTTTTTTTATTCACACCACAATCTGTCAAATTAGAGATAGCACGATACAAAACATCACCTCGAGATGGGACAGTTTAAAGTATTACCAGAAGATAGGATTGTATCACACTGAGGTATCGATATGTGACGCTCCACGAGAAAAAGGACCTTATGACAAGAGTAAATAAGGTCCCTTTTCTCGTGGAGCGTCACATATATTCTCTCTCCGTGTGGACCAACGGATGCTCAAATACTCATAATTTCGTCAACTTTGCTGTGATTGGCTTAAAATTTTAACACAATATTATATTAGGCATTCATTTAAAAAAATTTTTTTTCATTTCAATACCTTGCTTACCCCCTTTAATAGTGAAATAGACTATAAATATTAACTCATCCCTTTTCAAAATTAGGATTTTATAGTGGGAATGAAAAACATTTCA